GTTTGCTTATGTATCTCAATTTGTAAATGAAAGTTGCTGTAAAATTGACTTTGACCTTGACCTTGAAATTTAAGGTCAAACTACTTTGTCGTTGTATCGTGTAGTTACTCGCCGAGGGGATAAAGTCTCAAAGAAACTGTGGGTAGAAACTCAACTACTTTCTTAAAAAATGATGTTAAAGTTTCGTTACTAATAACTCTCAGTGGGATGATAATGAAAGTTCAATCGTAAATGAGATTCTGCATAAAAAAAAATAAGTAAAAAGTTTGATATTCAAAACTATAATCTTGAAAAAATGTGCGAAGTCGTGCAGTACCGACTGTTCCATGACATCATCATAAAAATCAAATAAGAGGAGAAACTAATTTGTAATATTTATTTGAGAATAATAAATAATTTGTTCCATGCTAAATATGAACGTACCGTTAGCGTCTGATAAGTTGGCAGCTGGATATATTGCGGATTCTATTGGTTCGCGTGCCAACTTACTCGATGTACACAGTACACCTTCGAAATCTGGGAATTTCAGTAACACTGATGTAAAAACTGTGGCCCCGGAATATGTTACGCGTAACTATAATAGTGATCCTCAAGAAAGTGATAGAAAAATTCGCCGTATTGATCTAAATCGGACATGTTTGATGGCGGGAAAATTCAAATCGAAGTATTATGAAATAACGAAACAGATATTCTTGTCGATTTAATATGATAAATTAAAATTTAATTTATTATTGTAACAGTTTTATGATAAAACATGTATATTATATTAAAATATTCTTTTTACTTTACTTGAATTAATGTATGACCTCTACTTTTATGAAATAAAATTTGAAACAATAATAATTGTTTTGTGTATTAAAATGAATACAACAATGATACGTTAAGTATTGATCTTTGTTTATTTATTTTGTTATTTTAGTGAACAAATTCATTTTTATATGAATATAATTAAAATTAACATAATAAAGACTGAAATTAATTCTGTGAAATTTTATATTAAATCAATAAAACTATTTATTTCAGTTTACTATAAAAATTCATCTTTAAGTAAATATTAAAATTAAAATGAGAAGAATAGATAAAATTGTAACAAATTAAATTATAATATTTCATGTTAAATCAATAAGAATATCTGTCTTGTTATTTTATCAGAAAAATAATTTTGGTAAAAACAGATTTGAATTTTCGAGCCACTTGACGTCACTACCGCCCATGTTCGTGTAACAATCTCGCCGCTCTTCCAGTGTAGATCAGTATGGCGACCAGTGAAAAACGCGGTCACGTTTCCCTATCACGATCCTTCTTTAAGGATTACTAAACTATATTTACTCATTTGTTTATGTAAAATACAATCAACTAATATTTGATCGGTCCCGTAAAATTCTGTGTTGAAATTGTGTTCAATCGAGCTGCATCGAGATAATGAAAAAGCACTCGTAAAATATGTCACCGCATACCGATATCTGGCGCGTTGTATCGCGTTCAAACAGTTTCACATCGATTGCCAGTTAACAATGCCTCAGAAGCACGAAAAATAAAATAAAATAATCGGAACATCGGTCGGACAGGTATCAATACATCACTTGAAATATTTGCTATTATATCGCTGAACCGTTTACGGTGGAATAAATATCGGTATATCGCATGCGAATCAACATTCAAAGTTATTGAGGATAATAGAGCTATAACCAATTCGGTGGTGAATATTTACGAACGTTTTGTGCCAAAAGTGGTGAAAGTGAAAATGTGTAGATATGTTGAAATAATTTCTCTATTAAACTTTTTCGAAGATGATAAAAATATGCAAGTGATCTCTAGGTTATGATTTAGTACGATGTATAATACATTCTGTAGAATATACAATAGTAAACTACGTAGTACATTATGTAGAATATAATAGATTACATATTAAATTCTATACAATATAATAGAATATACATTTTATAGAATATAAAAGACTATACAATACATCGTATAGAACATAATAGATCATATAATACATTCTATAGAACATAACAGGTTATGTAATACGTTCTATACAATATAATAGGTTATATAATATATTCTATAAAACATAACAGAATATATAATTCTGTAGAATATAATACACAATATAATACACTATTCGTTCTGTAGAACATAATAGATTAAACACATAATACAAAATATGTTTATCTCTGGACACTTCTGTACAAAACACATTAAAAAGACACTAACCTATAAGAAGACAGAAATCCAATATGGCGTGTGTACGCTACACGAATTGCCGCGAATTTTAAATTACGGGAACAATTAATTTCTTTTTTATAAATACTCTACTATTATAAATGCTGAAAAATGACGATTTTACGCTCATAATCATGTTCATGGTTTCTGTTTTCTTAAATTTTGTATAAAGAATTACAGTAGTGTTTAAATATATCATAAGTATGTAAAAACAAGTACATGTTCTATTTAAGGAATTTATTAATTTAGGTTATGTAATAAAAGTTAATGGTGCTTTAATGAGAATGGTGGGTAATCAATATTTTAAGGTACTTAATAGTTATTGAAAATTATTGTGTTAACGCTATTTGTTCAATGTGAAATTTGGAATTTTTAAATTTAGAAATTTGTGAACTTAAAAATTTGAAATTGGGAATTTGAATATTTAGCAATTTGAGCACTTGGGTTTCTGGAAACTTGTATCTGGAAACTTGAGAAATTAGGGAATTGAGAAATTGACTAAGTTTCCATCGAGGGTTCAAATCGGGTCAGAGTCGGGTTAGAGTCGGGTTAGAGTCGGGTTTGAGTCGCGGATTGGAGTTGCGGCAGGGTTGAACATTACCAACTGCACAAAGTCAACTACCATATTCTGACATGTAAAGCTGAGCAATATTAATTTTACAATATCAAAATAACATACAAAAATTATTTCTCAGATTACAAGATCACCGACAAAAAGTAATAATAACCTCTTCTACACCGATTAATACAGCACGTGATACACAATGCAATTTGGATTTGTTATGTTGGTAACACGATCTCGACTCTTGTCGTTTCCACCTCAATTGAACGCTACCCTAAAATTTTGTAGAGTAGAGTTCAACTAAACCTTTGGTGTTTCCACCGTAAAAGCGTTCACCCCAACCCGACTCTGACCCGATTTGAACCCTCGATGGAAACTTAGTCAATTTCTCAATTCCCTAATTTCTCAAGTTTCGAAATTGAGAAATTAATAAATTGAGAAATTTAGAAATTGAGAAATTTAAAAATTGAGAAACTATAAAACTGACATTTGTGAACTTAAAAATTTGAAAACTAAAAATTTGTAAATTGGGAAATGGGGAATTTTGTGATTTAAAACTTGAGAATATAAAAACTTAAAAATTAGAAAAATGAATCCCTGTAAAAGTGCAGATTTGCAAATATATAAGTTTAAAAAATCAGAAAATTAGTAAGATAAAAATTATTTAACATGGTCCTATAACCTCCATAACCACTTTTGGCAGCCATTTTGTTCTAAAATAAATTTTTCATCACCACCGAACTGTTTAAGTAAAACCATGCAGAACATTCAATCATCTGAATTGACAATTTACGATGACAACTTTGTTTCACCACTTTGCAAGTCCATTGCAATAATTGGTTTAACTCCTTGCCCTGTGAAATGTCGAATCACGTTTCCAGTACCGTACTTATAGCTAAACAAGCAAGGGGGCATTGCCCTGCGCTCTGTGCCCTGGAATTATATATTTTTGCATTTTATAGAAATTGTGAAAATCACTTAAAAATTCCACACTACCCAATTAATTAACTATGCGAATTATAATTATATATATTATTCGAATTATGCAATATAATTTAATTAAATTTAAGATCAATGTTGACAATATTTAGTTAATAAAATAGTTAATAAAGTTTTGAAAAATTGATAATTTATTAAAAATGAAGATGTACAAGTATAAATTGTGAAGTTAAGATTTCTATTTTTGTCCTGGGCACTTTGTATCTAAGTGACGGCACTGAGTATTCGCATTTCAAGGTCTAAACCAGTGATGAGCAGATCAAGTGTCTGCAATAATATTCCAAGGAAATGGGAAGCATTATCTTCCCATTTCTGATAATAGGTTGAATGCAGCTTATATACAATAGGCTACAGTAGAATATCGTTATATTGCCACCATTTATACTGTTACTCGAGTACATTGCTTTCTTATATTGTCTTTTATATATGTCCGTGATTTATGTAGTCAATCACTGTGTATTAACAGAAATATAGATTTAAATATTTCAAGATTATAAATTTGTAAATTATCAAGTTTAATAAATTTTTAATTCAGAAAATTTATGCATTTTCGAACTTTTCCATTTTATAGGTTACATATTTAGGCATTTTTTAGTCTCTAGTTTTTTAATTTTTGAACTATTGAATTCAAATTTTGTAAATTTTTAAATTTCTAAATTTGCAATTTATAATACACTGCAGTGAACCTTTTTATATAATAACAATTACATAATTTTGTACTTTTACTTGCTAGCGGCAATATAACGAGAGTCTTCTTCATCTGTACATACTTGTCACTGCACCTCAATAGGTACATCCCTGTTTCGCATTCTCATGGACTCGCAATCATTTTTGACTATTTCAGTCCGATAAAATAAAATGCAATAAAACAAATGTAAACGCGAATAACTTTTCAATTGAAACTCAAATAGCAATTAAGCACTTTTAACGCTTTCGAACAAAAAATGGTATTTTATTCAGAACTAAATCCATAAACTAATTTCAAACTGCTCCATTATACAATTTGAAAAATTCGATTAAAAAAGCAATATAAACCGGAATATGCCAAACTCTAATTTCAGGGTTGTGTTCAACGTTGTACAAACCAGGTACGTGCCTAGATCGCCCTAAAAGTGACCATTTTAAGCATTGTCTTTAAGTTCATGTCTTTAAGATAATTTAAGATATTCACGTATTAAGTTTAAATGTAAAATTCAAAAAATTAAAATTGGTGTCATAAAATAATTTGAATCCACATCTTCATTTTCCAGTGTTATTTTACATCATTTTATAACCTCAAACTATCATAATATAAATGAACGTAACTCTACATATTGTACCTCTTTCAACGAAACATCACCTTCATTCTCTTTACTAAAATATTACCCTCATCTCAGAAAGAGTCTTAATTTTTCTAGAGCTCCAACTCTAGACAAAAGAGTAGGTACAAGGCACTCTGACAAATAAATAACTTTTAGAGAGAGGCAAAATAATACAAGGAATTTAAATGGTCATGAAAAATGAAATGCGGTGAAGACATAATTTTAACGCGGTATTGCGCATGCGCATAGTGACAAGTATGGCGGTCGGTAATGCTTGATACCTGCACGTTCATCTGTCATTTATTTGTAACTAATTTAGAAGAAAAACTTTGTTTTTTATTTATAATTTGTAATAAATACGAATAAATATTTTTATTTCTTCCTTCCTGTAACACATTTACCGGTAATTTGTAATAAATATTTTATCATTTCTCTGTAACATATAAATATGTATTTTATTGCAATAAATAGTTCATTTCTTTACACGTTATTTGTAATAATCATTTCTGTAGAATATATTCTTTAAATATTTTCTTAGAGTAATCATTTTAGTACATGCCTTCTTGTTTTCAACATTTCAAGGTCGCAAAATCGATGTAAATATTTCGAAGATCATAACAGTGTCTCGAGTAGCTCCGACATTGACCGAAGTTTACCGAACGTACAAAAGACGGACAACGGAAACGTTCGAACGACCGAACGTAAACAGTAATATATTCGATCAATTTTAACGCAAGAATAAAATCTTTTTATTTCTGTTTTGTTATTATGAAACTTTTACCTACATATTTGTGACAATTTCCCGATTAAAACGAGACTAAACACGACGTAATTCAGAACATATTTACTTGTATTTTAAATATTTTATTCATGTAGTTCAGAATCTTTCGGTTCTAAACTTCTGTTCACATCGGGTAGTTCCGACGTTAACCGAAGTTTGACGAATGCAAAAAAGAATAGCAAACGACGGAAAGGTTCGAAGGTAAACAACAAACAGTAACATATCCGTAGGCAATTCTAATACAAAAATAAACCCTTTTCAATGGGGTAAAAGTCACAAATATATTGGAAAAGTGTATAAAAAAAGGGACTAAAAATAAACGTTACCAGCATGTTAGCACTGTAAACAATACAGTAGGCTTTTGACCTTTGTCGACTGGTACAATCTCAGCGTCCTTTTCGTAGTTATTCACCATCTTTTTCTGCGTTCTTAACTTATTGATAATGAAACCAATATAAATAATAATTATAAAATATAGTAAATATAGTAAATCTGGTGCAAATTATATAGTGTCTGGTATCATTTTAATTGGAAAAATATCAGAAATCTGTTGGTAGAAATTTTATAACAAAAAAAGTCGAAAACAAGTTTTAAAAGAAAGTTTCATATTTACACTGTTTTTTTTATTGGATACACACACTCGAATCATGTTACACTTCCCGGCAAGCGAACTTCTAAACGTCTCGCGAGATCTCAGTGATGAGCACAATTTTTTCACTTATATCGAGTAGATCATTTTCACTTATATCATGCAGATCATTTTCACTTAGATCGAGACTTTACTGTATCAGTAATATACTAAAAATGTACAACGAAATTTCAAATTATTAGATAATGATATGAAACCCCAATAAATTGGGATTTAAATTTCCCATCATACATAGAGGGAAACATCCAAAGTTATCAAAGGTACTTGTACCTACTCTTTGCCTAGACTCAGTATCGTCAGAATCATGAAATAGTTGCGTCAGGAACACCTCCATGCAAAGGACATCGATCGAAAACCATAATCGACCATCGTGTTTAAAATTTGCTTCGAGCTTACAAATATCTTTGGACCCACAAACTCGACGGTTCTCACCTAGGGTCAATCCGTGCGACCGTTGCGTTGAAAACAGCCGAGAAGATCGGCGATAAAATTGTAAAGTTTGTTGAGGATCACCCAGAATGATCTGGGGTTGCGTTCGAGCGGCCGAGAGTTTTGCTTGGAGCTTACCAATCCTTGAGGACGCACAAACTCAACGGGTAGCGTCGCACGAAACGAGGGATCACACGAGGAGTTCCTTGAGGAAGTCCTCGACAAGCAAGTCCTACAAATACTCGTCCACACGGTCGTTCTCGTCGGGTGGGCTGGGTTCGCTGACGCTGAGGATCGGCAGACCGAAATGCTGCACCTCGATGCTCGACTCGGGGCCACGTTTCGCGTAGTCGCAGCTCTTCGAGTGGCGCTCGATCCCGCCGCGACGGTGATGATGGTGATAATGGCTTTGACGAGCGTCGGAATCGTAAGACCGCCGGTAACACCTGCGAATGTCAGCGGTACTCACGATAGAAACGGTTTCCGATGAAATTTTTATCGCGAGAAGACACCCGGGGGAAATGGCGGACTGGTTGATTTAGTGGAGCGGATGAAGTAGTTTGGAATTATATATGTAATTTAGGAGTTAGTCTGGGGAGTTAGAGAATTGGGAATTTGGAATTATAAGTTGAGAATTTGGATGTTTAGAAACTGTGGAAATTGAAATATTTAAGAATTTGGAAATTTGGGGAGTGGAACGTTATTTAATAGTTTTTGAATTTGGAATATTTGTGAATTTGGGAGTTAGAGCTTGGGGATTTGGAGAGTTAGGAAGTTGGAATTAGAAGTTGAGAATTTGGATGTTTAGAAATTGTGGAAATTGAAGTATTTGAGAATTTTGAAATTTGGGGGAGTGGAACGTTATATAATAGTTTTTGAATTTGGAATATTTGTGAATTTGGGAGTTAGAGTCTGGGGATTTGGAGAGTTGGAAATTTGGAATTAGAAGTTGAGAATTTGGATGTTTAGAAATTGTGGAAATTGAAGTATTTGAGAATTTTGAAATTTGGGGGAGTGGAACGTTATATAATAGTTTTTGAATTTGGGAGTTAGAGCCTGGGGATTTGGAGAGTTGGAAATTTGGAATTAGAAGTTGAGAATTTGGATGTTTAGAAATTGTGGAAATTGAAGTATTTGAGAATTTGGAAATTTAGGAAGTTGAAAGTTATTTAACAGTTTTTGAATTTGGAATATTTGTGAATTTGGGAATTTAGGGATTTGTGTGTATGGAAATTTGGTTATTTAACAATTTTGTGATTTGAGAAATTTGGCAATTTAGGAGTTTAAGAGTTTAGAAATTTAAATATTTTAGAATTTTTCAACTTGAGATATTATGAATTTAAGGATTTGCAAATTTGGGAATGTGGTTATTTAACAATTTTGGGATTTGTTAAATTTGGCAGTATAGAAGTTTGAAAGCTTAGGAATTTGTAAGTTTAGGAACTTTGTAATTTGAGAAATTTGGCAATTTAGGAGTTTAAGAGTTTAGAAATTTTAATATTTTAGTATTTTTCAACTTGAGATATGAATTTTGGGATCTGCAAATTTGGGAATGTGTTATTTAACAATTTTGGGATTTGTTAAACTTGGCAATATAGAAGTTTGAAAGTTTAGGAATTTGTAAGTTTAAGAACTTTGGAATTTGAGAAATTTAAATATTTTAGAATTTTTCAACTTGAGATATTATGAATTTAAGGATTTGCAAATTTGGGAATGTGGTTATTTAACAATTTTGGGATTTGTTAAATTTGGTAATATAAAAGTTTGCAAGTTTAGGAACTTTGGAATTTGAGAAATTTGAGAATCTAGATATTTCAGAATATAGGAATTTGAATATTTCGGTATTTTAATTAATTTAGGTGTTTGAGAGATTTGAAAATTTAGGAGTTTAGGTATTTAAGAATTTTGGTTATTTAGCAATTTTAGAATTTAAGAATTAAGACAATTGAAAATTAAAAAATTTGTAAGTTTAAAGACTTGAGAAGTGTCAAAATTTTGCAATTTGTATATCTTAGAATTTAAGGCTTAAAATTTGAGAGAATAGAAGTTTAGATATGTAGCAATTTATAAATATTATAAATTTAAAAAGTTGAGATTTATAAATGAAAATAAAAAGACTTGAAAACTAGTAAACTTGAAAATATAGAAATTTAGGGAACTTAAATATTTTGGAACTTATGATTTTGGTAGTTGTAAATTTTGTATTTTAGGAATTTGGAAATCCGCAAACTTAAAAATTTAGAAGCTTGGGATTCTAAAAGCTACGGGAACTTATCTTAATGTTTACGTTTCATTGTCATACATGTTTCTACGCATGCGCTGACCGTTCTGCGCATGCGTTCACCAGCTTGCGCAGTTCAAGCCCTAAAATATGTAACGACTGCGCATATCTATCTAAGGACGCCCAAGATCAACTATACTACTTCTAAATTCCATAGATTTATGTTTTATAATAGAATACATAATCAAATTATTCCGTTCAACAAAGTATTAGCTATTCTGTATAATATTTTAAAGTAATATTATTTATTCATATATTACGACAATATCAAACGTGTAATATTTCTTTCAACAGAAAATTGCAATATTAATTTAAATTCTTAAATTTCAAACCCTATAACTTTCTAAATTCTTGAATTATTCCTAATTCATTATATCTTTGAATTCCTATGTCTTTGAATTTCTACGTCCCTAATTTTCTAAATCAAAAAATTCCTGCATCATTCCAAATTTTCAAGAATTCGCAACTTACGTAAAGTTAAAAATTCCTCATTTTTACATTTAAATATTTAAATTTCCAGCGCTACAATCACTTTTTAAAATTTGTTTTTCTTGTGATTTGACTGCCTAATTCTCTTATACTCCGCTTTACTCTATTAAAATCTTCATCTCCTGCACCACTCGCATAAATTTCCCTACATTTCAAACACGACTACGATTAATTTACAACAAATTGACTTCAATGTAGAAGTACGCTCTCAGTTGTACTCCTTTCGACAACGGGAACCAGGTCACCGCGAAAATGCCTACACCGAAAGAAAGCTGTTCCTCAATTTTCTGTACTGTAATTTCGGGGCTATGTAAGTGGTACTATGTAACACTCATACAGGGTGTCTCAACTAACTTGACTGTCTTGAATATCGTGCTTATTTTTCGTGACGTTAAAAGAAAGTGTCAGATGAAATCATTTTGTTCAAACGGACAAATATTATGGTGGTCAAGAAATTTTTCTCAAGGTCATTTGTTTCCGAGATTTCAAGGTCATTAAAGTTTTTAAATGGGATAATATATTTTCATTAGCATGACATGATGAGGTCAAGACGAATTCAACGATGTAATAATATGACTTTCGCGACCTTGAAATACAAGGAATACATAAAAGCTAGATAACTGAATACAAAGTGAAATAAATTATAGAAAGATCAACGGAGGAAATCGGTGGTAGTGCAGGTATTTGATGGCCTGCACGTTCACCAGATCTAACACCTTCAGATTTTTTTTGGGGTGCGATTAAATCGGTAGTTTATAACGACATTCCAACAACGCTGGAAAACAGGAAAGAACGTATTAGAACTGCGTGTGCTAATATCAATGAACAAGTTATAAGAATCACCAGAGACTCGTTCATTAGTCGTTTAGAAAGTATCGAGACTGCCAGACATCATTTCGAGCACTTATTACAATAAAATTTCCTCCATTGATCTTTCTATCAGTTATTTCATTTTGTCCATCAGTTATCTAGTTTTTACGTATTTTTTCTACTTCAAGGTCACGCGAAGGTCATAGTATTATAGGTCGTTGAATTCTTGACCTCAAGTATCGTACCACGCTGATAAAAATATATTATCTCATTTAAAAACGTTAATGACCTTGAAGTCTCAAAAAAAAAAAAAAAAATGACCTTGAGAGAAATTTCTTAATTACCATAATATTTGCACGTTTGAACAAAATAATGTGTTTTTCTAATATTTTATTCTATCATAAAAAGCAGGTAAGATATTCAAGATGGACACGTTAGATGGAATACCCTGTATACTGGCACATTCCCGAAAGGTAGCTTGGCGTGTGACCAAGTTTCGAGGGTAGCTTTTAAAAGGGAACGGTATTTGCAGGATGAAGCGGCGTTAACTGTGCTCGTATATATTCATCAGCGACGTGTGAGTGGGAAACGGATCGTTTGAAGGTATAAAAATATCCTCGGTTTCTTGTGAATTCATAGGTGAATGCATTTTGTAAACGAGACGCGACAGATCGTTTCGTACTGATGTTGGATTTAGAAACACGTCACGCAGAAACTGTGCCTCTTTGTATTACACTCTGAAGGAGATAGTTTTTTACGGATTTGTCGATACTGTGAACGTTGTACTACTTTTGGTGGTTAGTGAGTAGAAATATAAAAATCTAGGGATGTAGAAATGTAGCAATGTAGGAATCAATGTAGTGATATTAGAATGTGAGAAGATGAGATCAGAATATATGGATTTATAGATGTGAGTATGTAGGAATATATGGATGTAAGTCTTGCTCGAAGATCTAATTATCTACAGCGGTAATTATTTGTGTATTAGGTGATTTGTAAATGTACGTATTCAGGAGTCTAGGTATCTGGAGATTTAGGTATACAGGAGACTGGATATCTACATGTTTTGGTATCTTTGTATATAGTTATTTGGGTATCTAGATATGTAAATATCTAGGTATTTACGTATCTAGGTATCTAGGTATTTAGGTATTTAGGCATCAAGGTATCTAAGTAACAAGGTATCTAGCTATCAAGGTATCAAGGTATCTAGGTATCTAGGTATCAAGGTATCTATGTGTCTAGGTATCTAGGTATCTAGGTATCTAGGTATCTAGGTATCAAGGTATCCAGCTATCTAGGCATCAAGATATCAAGGTATCCAGGTATCAACGTATACAGGTGTCTAGGTATCAAGGTATCAAGGTATCAAGGTATCTAGGTATCAAGGTATCAAGGTATCAAGGTATCAAGGTATCAAGGTATCAAGGTATCAAGGTATCAAGGTATCAAGGTATCAAGGTATCAAGGTATCAAGGTATCAAGGTATCAAGGTATCAAGGTATCAAGGTATCAAGGTATCAAGGTATCAAGGTATCAAGGTATCAAGGTATCAAGGTATCAAGGTATCAAGGATATCAAGATATCAAGATATCAAGGTATCTAGGTATCAAGGTATATAGGTGTCTAGGTAACAAGGTATCTAGGTATCAAGGTATCCAGCTATCTAGGCATCAAGGTATTTAGGTATCAAGGTATCAAGGTATCAAGATATCAAGGTATCTAAGTATCTAGGTATCAAGGTATATAGGTGTCTAGGTATCAAGGTACCAAGGTATCTAGGTATCTAGGTATCAAAGTATTCAGCTATCTAGGCATCAAGGTATTTAGGTGTCTAGGTATCAAGGTACCAAGGTAACAAGGTATCTAGGTATCAAGGTATCCAGCTATCTAGGCATCAAGGTATTTAGGTATCAAGGTATCAAGGTATCTAGGTAACAAGGTATCAAGATATCCAGATATTTAGCTATTTGCATATTTACAGATCTAGATATCAAACTATCTAGAAATGCAAGCATTTGAATCTATAGATATCTAATTATCTAGTAATCTAGATATTAAGATATGTAGATATCTAAGTACCTAGTTATCTAGCTGTCTAGATGTCTATCTATAGAGGTACCTAGATGTCAAAGTATCTAGATGCCTATTTTCAAAGCTATCTGGGTATTAAGTTATCTAGCTACCTCTATGTATGTACCTAAATGTAAGTATCTAAGTGTAGATATTCAAGTATCTAGGTGTATAGCTACTAAGCTATTTCCACATTTAGGAATCTAGATATCTAAGTATCTAGACATCTAACGATCTAGATATTTATTTACAGAGGTATCTAATTGTCTATGAATCTAGATATCCACTTACAAAGGTATCTAGTTATCTAAGTAGCTAGATACCCATTTATTCATATACACATATATCTAGGAAACTAGTTATCTAGATATCTAATTGTAAGTATCTAAGTGACATTTAGATATCTAGATAATTAGTTTCCTAGATATATAAATATCTATATATCTAAATGTTTAAGTATCTAAGTGTCTAAATATCGAAATATTTCGATATCTATATATTTATGTATCTAAATATATTTGTACATAAAAAACTAGTTATCTAGGTATCTAATTATATAAGTACCTATGTATCTAGATAGTCTAACCAATCCTGTCCAAAACTTTTTATCTTATCTTCCAAAATATTTCACTTCAAAGATCGAATAATACGTCAGAACAAAAATTTAAATATCCAATTTAAATCTTTTCTCTGTTAAAAGTTAGATATCAATTATTATGACCTCCATTATCAAATTTTATGCAGCAGAAGAAAATAGAGGGATCAAAGAAAGGTGAAGCACACTCGATGCAAATTTTGATCAATTTGCTTTTAATTAATTGCAATGTAACCGTTTTCCTGTACAACATTCCGAGCGATCCTAATTATTAATCTGTGTGTAGGGGAAATGGAAAATGAAATTTTTACGATAAATGCATATCATAAAAATAAAACGAGCGAAGGATCATAAAAATAACCAGATTTTATTTCCTCAATTCTGCGTCCAACAATTTATAGCGGACATTCAATTGAATCGATCATTAAATGACATACTGTCAGGATTATTTAAAATATCTGATACCTATAAAAAATTTAAAATTATAATTGCAGTAACTGACTTCTTTCTAAATACTTTCAATTCTAGTAAAATTAGTATGTTAAATAGAAAAAGAATTTCGTTGGTGACACAATTTTTTTTCAATTTCACCCTTTAAAAATTTAGTAAACTGTGTAGAAGAAATTCTCTCAAAATTTCAGCTGAAAACTAAATAAATATAATATAATTTAAGGCAATTAAAATGTTAGTTAAAATATAATTTAAGGAATAACTATTAATAAATAAACAGTTTGCAATAAATAAAAAAATTGTCAATAAATTTAATTTACTATCATTATGTAAAATTTTAAATTGCTTGCTGTGACCGCTTAAATTAAAATTTTTCAACTCAAACTTCAAGAGGATTTTTTGCTAACTTTGTAAAGACTGAGTGCGAAAAAAAATTTGTTTGAATCACTCTGTTCTATACGTACTTAAACGTACTTGAAGTTAAAACCGTTATAAGTAGACTAATTTCATCAAGACTAATTTCACTCAACGATTCTACTTTTGATATTTCGGATGAGCAAACACATCTGTACGTTATAATTCATATTATCATATTAACACTTTAATGGCTGCGCATAAAACAAGTGTGGAATGCTAGCCGGTCATTGGCTGGTACCCTTACAATATTAAAATATTAAAAACGTTGTATTAAATGTGTTCTTATTTTTGTTTATTTTATATGTACGTCCACACATGAATTATTTGTGTTAATTATTATTATTTGTATTAACCGGTTAAGTATGTTTGACGACTATATCCGTCATGGAGATGTGACAGAATTTTGTGTCATGACAACTATATCCGTCATGCGTAAAAGTTTTGTTACAATTTTGATATTTAAATTGTAATTTTGCGAAAACTAAATTATATTCGTAAAATGTAATATGTTTAAAATGTTTAGAGGTCAACACGAAATGAAATAAACAAACAAAAAGTGTAAATGATTTGAGATGAATTCATAAATTCTTGAAAGCTAACTCGTCATCGCTTGATTATCGTGACACGCACTGGTGCGCGCTCTGCAAGATCGCCGCAGTTAACTAGTTATTTGTGTGTAACAATGGTGAATTATTTTGTAAATTTACATAAAATTTTTTTAAATTAATTCTTCAAAAATGTTCTCAGCTCCTGGCGACATTTGACTGCGTAGACAAGTGACTATTAAAGTATTGATACACAAATTCAGATTTTACTGTAATGAATCATAAGTGACTTTTATGCAATGATTAGATTTGAACTCCTTTTGCTTCCATCATATAAGTTTCGCGTGCAATGAGAACTAATTTGAAATCGAATAGTTTGCGAACGCAGAGAAATGACCTGCAGGCATGGTCAGCGAATATCTAGGCACTGTTAGCCGAGGGTTAATTAATGTTGAATGTTGGGGAAACCCTGTGGCTGTCGTTGGTACACGCAGTGTTGAAAATGATCATTTAACGGGGTTTGGATACTCCTATGCCAAATACATGAAGGAAAGTTCCCAACTTCATACCACAAATGAAACTAATATAGCATCAGCAGGAATAGCAAACAGAAAAACTTCGACTCGTCTATTATCCGTTGGGCTAGTTAAAAATGTGACATTGTTTTTACAATATAATGTCATAGTTGTGTAAAGCACACGCACTATTCTTTATAGAAAATACAACATAATGGGTTGGTAAGAGTGTTATATGAATGAGGTTAGTGAGAGTGCTGAATGAGTGAAGTTGGTATAAGTGAGATATTTTATAGATTGCTATAAATTGAGTAAAACGAATTAAATATTGAAATTATACATGTCAATTATTGAACATATATTAAATATTATACAAAAATAAGTCTTCAATATTTTTCCTCCACAAGAAAAGCTAAATTTAATTGGAGGATCCAAAAATTAATGAAAGCTTATAGAATTAACTTTGCAATTTTCTACTGAGCAAAATATTATATGTTTGATATTATTGTAGTGTTAGTAAAATAGTTTAAAGAAATAGTAGAATAGTTAGTAAGATAGTAAAGTAGTTAGTAGTTCATTTGACAACAAGATTTAATTAGGTATTCAGTTATAAGAGTGGGATTAATATGATTTAGAGAAGAGGGAGAGTTGATTTTGGGCCTGGTTAGATAGGTGTGCGCAGTAGTCTAATATGCTACGTCTGCGCAGGTTGGTGCGTCTGCGCAAAGCGTCGAACGCATGCGCAGAGCGGTGAGCGCATGCGTAGTACTCACTGAGCGCCACTAGAAACATTTCGAAACGCAAACGTATCGAAATATCCGAACTGACAATTTCTAAACTTTCAAGTTCCCAAACTTCTAAATTTGTTAAATTTACAAACTCTCAAATTACGAAATTTACAATTTCTATGTTCTCAAACTTCCAAATATCTAAATTTCCAACTTTCTACATTTTCCAATGAACAAATCTTGAAATTTCTAAATTTCCATCTCAAACTTGCGAAATTTCTAAAGTATTAAATTATAAAATCTTTAAATTTCTATTTTCTGAAACTACTGTATTTCTAAATCTCTGTTCACTGAAATTTATGTATACTATCTGTAAATATATGTATACTATCAAATCCTCAAAAACCCAAAGAGTTAACCCATTTCAGACAAAAACCCTAGTTACACAAATAACATGAATCAATAAATTCAAAAGAAAGATGCTTGCATCAGTAACCATATCACTTTTCTAGCACTAATACATGATTTTTTTTCACATGTTAATGTAAAACATTTAAAAATGAATACATTGTAAGCAACTATCCTGGTAGTTGCACCACAACATTGTACAACGCTAACTTGATTTACTCATAATTCTGTATAACAATTGATTGTAAATAGCAAACAAAATAAAAAAAAAATTATTTTTTGAACAATATGACTAGAAGTACACCCAGTACGTGGCACAGTAGTCCTAACTTTCTCATGCTTCAAATTTTTTCGAATATCACTAGAATTATTTTTATAGACAATACACAGTACAGCTGATCTACTTGTGTTTTCCGTATCTAACGTGTGCCAGTGACCGCAAAATATGAAATTAAAAGTATTTGGCTATGGTAGAGAATTTAAATTCTGCAGCTGGATCGCTTAATGCAAAAGGCATGCTATTCGGACTACGTATTCTAGGTATGTAGAGCAATGCATGAAAGAGATTCCTTACCGCTCATCCATGGAAGCAGGTTGTCGTACAGGACACCGAACATATTCGTGACTTCCGCCGGCTCGCCATCCCCCGAAACGTCGGCCGACGAACGACGATGAGGACGTTATCGGAGAATCCCTGAAACATTTACAACGATCCTTTCGACTAATATCGCTTCCGAATGTACTATCCTTTAAATGTACTTCATTTACAGTATACTCTCTTGCTTCGTATATGGTGATGAGATTTCATCGTTGAAACACGTACAAATACGAGGTCTGTCCCAAAAGTATCTGACCTTCTTTAATTTCTTCGCACCTGACAACTTTAGCGTCATTTGCCGGGTATGAGTATCAACTGCAAAGCTTTACGAACTTCCACGATATCGTAGTTTTCGTCGGGATGCCTTAGTTCATGTGCAACGTGCATTTGTTTACGAAGCGTTTTTTACGTTCGTCGCATTCTGCTGTTGTGAAAAATGAGGGAAGGATCGGAGCAACGAGCTTGCATCAAATTTTCCTTAAAACTCGAAAAGAGTTGTGCGGAAACAATCGGTATGATGAAGAAGGCATTTGGGGATGAGTATATGAGCAACACACAAATCAAAGAGTGGTATAAGCGGTTCAAAGATGGCCGCACATCTGTTGATAGTAACCCACGCTCTGGGAGGCCTTCCACGACAACAAGACCTAATATTATTGAACGTGTGCGACTTGCGATCAACGAAAATCGTCGATTGACTGTGCGAGAATTAGAATGTGATCTTGGAATACCGAAAACTAGTTTTGGTCTCAGTTTTGGTCAAGCGGTGATTGACTTCTTCATCACAATAACGCTCCAGCGCATGCATCGTATCTTGTGCAGCAATATTTCACGAAGCACAAAGTCATACAGCTCCGTCAATCTCCGTACAGTCCTGATGTAGCTCCCTGCGATTTTTGGTTGCTTCTTTTTGTTGTTTCCAAGATTAAAAATGCCATTCAAAGGACACCGATTCGACGATAAAGAAACGGTCGAAACTAATACGACGAACGCTCTAAAGGCTATTCCGAAAAACGAGTTCCAGGACTGTTTCCATAAGTAAAAAGGTCGTTGGCAGAGTATTCTATAATCAAATGGGGACTACTTCGAAGGATGCCACCAGTCTGATGACGCAGGATAACACCAGCAGGGAAATATGAAGGAAGGTCGGATACTTTTGGGACAGACCTCGTATCGTCATTTCACTCGTGTCAACGAGCTGACTATTGCAGATAACCCTATTTATATAAGAGGCTATAAGAGGAGCTTATCTGGGTTATCCATTGGTCAAAAAAGTAAAATATCTAAACTAGCACGTATTTGCGACGGTAGGAACTGCTGGTACCAACGGCGACCCACGAGAATTGAGGCAAAAAACAAGGACAAGGCAACTGTTTCGAGCCACCTCGGACGTCAGAATGTCACACTGGGACTATATATGTAAGATCAAATAGGCGGTACGTCCCTCAAACATGGGTTAGCCTTCTACGCGTCAGGAATAGGGTTATTTATAATAAGTATATCGTATTCGTTCTTGGTGCAAACGACATACGTAAAAATCGAATTTTTGACAGCATCCGTTTCGACGATTTCAATGATCTTGAAATATGTTGCCAAGTTCGATATTCTGAATAACTTTTTCCTATGCGTAACCTCCGTTCGTCCTTAGGTTCGGAGATGTTTTGCAAATGTTCGGTTCGAGTTAGATCTCCGGCGCAAGATGGCCGCGAAAAAATGTAGCCTAACCGATCTCGTCCATCTTTCCGAGTACGCGTTGAAAAAATAAATGGAGAAAATACGCGATGTAGGAATACCGAATATGTTTGTGACCGTGTCGCAGATATGTGCATATGGGCAGAATTCGGTGAGACAGTTGTGACAGTTTTTTGCGAACATCTCGAAAACTATGAGAGTCGAACGGTTATGTTTATAGGAACAAGTTGTTCAAAATGGCGATTTTTGCAATATATCGCAATTAACGAAACTTGTTTGCTTTCGAAATAATTACCACGTGGTTCTTCATTCTCCTTTTTGGTCTTTTGATACGTTTATGTTATTAATGTCAAAAATTAATGAAATGTTCATATTCAGAATATTAACGTGGATAAAAAGATTAGTTATCAAGAAAAAATGTTTTCTTGTGAAAATATGGTAACCAAGAAAAATTGAGATGAGGAAAATGTGGATATGTAGAAATTCAGAAAATTGAAAATTTAGGAATTTAAACATTTGGAGATTTGAACATTTAAAGATTTGAAGATTTGAAGATTTGAAGATTTGAAGATTTGAAAATTTGAAGATTTGAAAATTTGAAAACTTGAAAATTGTTAGACTTGAAAATTAAAATTTGTAGATTTGAAGGCTTGAAAATTTTTAGATTTGAAAATGAAAATTTGTAGATTTGAAAATTTGAAGATTTGAAGATTTAAAGATTTAAAGATTTGAAGATTTGAAAATTCTTAGATTTGAAAATTTGAAAATTCTTAAATTTGGAAATAAAAATTTGCAGATTTGAAAATTTGAAAATTTGAAAATTCTTAGATTTCAAAATGAAAATTTGTAGATTTGAAAATTTGAAAACGAAAATTTGTAGATTTAAAAATTTAAAAATTCTTGGATCCGCAAATGAAAATTTGAAGATTGGAAGATTTGAACATAAGATAAAATAACAACAAATTTCAATAACCTTGATTAACCCATAACAATGACCTTCACAAAACTTTCCATCACTCATCCCAAAATTCTCCTTTTAAATTATTTAAAACCTTCATAAAATTAATTAAATTTCTGTACCTTTAATATAAAAAAAAATTAAGCCTTCGACTTAAAATCAACAGTTCGTAAACATCTCCATTTACTTCCGCCTTGAAGAACATAAAAATAAATTCTGAAAGTTTGCGTCGTACATGGGCGACCCTTTTATTTGTATGCGTCAGGACGTTTCCACTTTATTTTGTATCCCAAGAGGGTCGTCACCCTTGCCAGCTTGTCAAATTTCCAGAAGGGTAGCGCACGACATTCCCAACACCGATTTCGTTCAAACTTTCCACAATTACAAAACACATCAAATAACTTTGCTCAGCTATGACGCACACTTCCTTGAAAGGAGGAAAAAGTTTGTCTTTCGGACTTTTGTGATGTCTACGGTTCATATGTTTGCTTGTACATCAAGTAAAACGTGTTTTTAGTCGAAGATAATATTTCGCATTCTCTTTATGTTTATCTAAGATAAAATACGCATTTATGCACATTTTATTTTTAGAATGTTAATATTGTAGATTTTTGTGATGTCTAAGGTTCATATGTTTGTTTGTATGTCAAGGAAAATGAATTCTTATTTAAAAACAATATTTTGTATTCTCTTTAGAATTTACCTAAGACAAAATATGCATTTGAGCATATTTTTATTTTTATTCGGTTTGAAATGCGCGCCATTATTGCGTCAGAACAAATGTAACGTCGCCATATTGTGTTCAGTGAAATATCTCCCATTTGCAATTAATTATTTCCTATTTTATTTTATCTTGAAAATAATGACAAAACTTTGACAAAATTTCTTTTGTCAATGACGCCATTTTTATATTTATTTACCCACAATTTTCACAAATATGGTTCAACATTTGTTTTGGAATTATTATTAAAAAATCATCCCAAGTTACTGTCATCGTTGAGAATTTAGCTTTGAAATTTCATTTCTTTATATGTTTATTAATTTTGAAAGTGGGACAGGTTCATTTTAGTATAATAAAACGTTTATCTTTTTTAGCCAGTACTTTAAATTTATACATTAATATATACATAATAAACATATAGTATGTAATACTACAAAATGCAAAAAATTTGTCTATTAGTGCTTAGCAATATTTAAAAAATTTTGTTAAATGTATTGTAAATTTAATTTGCAATATTACAAATTTTAAGTAAATTTTATTTACAAAATTTCCAATTTCAAGCCAATTTAATTTACAATATTACAAATTTCAAATAAATTTAATTTACAATATTGCAAATATCAAGCCAATTTAATTTGCAATATTACAAATTTTAAATAAATTTAATTTACAATAAATTTTACTTACAAAATTGCAAATTTGAAATAAATTTTATTTACAATATTACACATTTCAAATAAATTTAATTTATACTGAATTTTATTTACAAAATTTCAAACGTCAAATAAATATAATTTACAGAATTAAAAATTCAAACTAAATTTAATTTACAATAAATTTTTACTGTAAGTTAATTTCAGCCCAGATGCAAACTCTTAATTATAATAAAAAATGGACTTGTCCTACTTTTAGAATAAACAACTGAATTATAGAAATCATTTTGAAAGTAATTTGAAAAATAGAAGAAAAAAGTTAAAGTGGAGTGTTAGCGTGTGACGTGTTCTTTAAACGGAGATCAGTGTGTGTCACTTGTCGAACCTTTCTCGCAAACCGTGATATATCTTTGTTTCGTATCCGAAGAGGATCGTTGACCCTTGTTTCTTGAATTCTTAACACTGATCTTTCAAGCCAAAGCTGCCCTAATCCTCCTCAGGACTACTGAGTGGTTTCTCCACTCTGTGTTCGTTCTGCTGACACAGATTGCAGAAAAAACGTATTGTGTGTACAACCTTGGAAATGTCTGCAATCGTTGGTAAAAACTGCTGAGAGTATAGTTACATAAGCAGGGTGCTTATCCTCTCCCTAGATGTACTCAATTGATTGTAAATATAAATCTTTTGATACAAACATTCAATAATCTTCTGAAAAGGATTTGAAAAGGTTAAGAGTTTGTAAGTTTAAGATTTGAAAAATTTAAAATTTGCACATTAAAAGATTTTACAAATAAAAAAAATTTGCAAGTTAAAAGGTTTAAAAAGTCTAAAAATTTATAAATTAACAGATTTGAGAAATTAAAAAATTTGGAAGTTAAAGAATTTGAGACATTAACAATTAAAAAAATCATATGTAAAAAAATTTAAGTTAAAAGAATTAAGAAATTAAAAAATTTATAAGTGAAAGAATTTCAAAAGTTAAAAAATTTGGAAGGTTAAAGCTTTGAAAAATTAAAAAGCTTGTAAGTTAAAAGATTTAAGTTAAAGAAATAAGACAGTTAAAAGATTTAAAAAATTAAAAAATTCAGAAGAATTTAAGAATTCAAAAAACTTATAAATTGAAATATATAAACATTAAATTGTGAAAGCTAAATTATTTATTAAACTGAAAAATTCATGAAGGGTTCATTTTTCCTTAAAGTAGAAAACACCTACTAATTAGCATCATACTCTAAGACAGGTCAAATGAGCACAATTTCACAAAAATCTAAATAAGCCAGCAGTTCCCTGTAAAGTGTGAATATTTTCATACTTACCAGTGAATCGCACTGAATATACAAATACAAATTAATTTCAATGCAAATTAAACGTATTTTCCGGTAAAAGACACAATTCCGCCTCGTTGCAAAGCGAAAGTACTTGGGTTACAATTTAATTAAATTCTCCTGAAAGAAGATACCCGACGGAACACGAAACAAGCGCGAACAGTAGGAATAAATTTCTTTTGTTATTCTTTTATCAGGAATTAGCGAGATTTATGTTTCGCGTACAGAAGGTAATGGATTACAGCGGTCGATGAAATGAAAAAACTTAATCGAATGAAGCGAAAAAGTGACGTCTGAAAAATTGAAACATCATGAAACATACTTATATCACGCAAAGAAGCTAATCAACTAAACGTTCGTTCGCGTACAAGACAATCTTTTTTAACCTATCCTTGCATGACTTCTTCAATTTAAAACAGAGAGTTCTTGAACTCTTACAAATATAATAAAATGATGATGAATAAATGTTTCCTATTAAAAAGTTTATTTGAAGGAGAATTTATATAGTAATGCAAATTTGCAGTATTTCGAGAACAATGCACAGCACAATAGTTTTAAGAGGTACATTAATCTTTATTTTCCTATTATTACTTACCAACGTTACTTTCAGATGCATTGCAGTTATAATTTTCGTTGAAATCATTTTAAGTTATGTTTTTTAAATAAATTAAACTACAATTCGTAATTAATTTTGGTTAAAAAGGTACGTTGAGAAATGCAACGTCTCCGATAGGACGTGTCGAGTCAATCGGAACGATTCGGCAATCTTCGATAATTTACGGCATGTGAGTCGGTTGCCGGTCCGTGACGGTTGATGTTTGACACGTGGCGATCAGAATAAATTTGAAAGGCCACTAGTAATTTTGTGTAGTGTAAATAAGTAAAATATTAAAGACGTGTAGTGCAAAGACGTAAAATAATAAAAACGTGTAGTGCAAAGAAGTAAAATAGTAAAGACGTGTAGTGTAAAGAAGTAAAATAATGAAGACGTATAGTGTAAAGAAGTAAAATAATAAAACCGTGTAGTGTATAGAAGCAAAATAGTAAAGACGTGTAGTGTAAAGAAGTAAAATAATAAAACCGTGTAGTGTAAAGAAGTAAAATAGTAAAGATGTGTAATAATAAATTGTTAACCTAAACTAAATAGTGGTGTTCATTTCGAAATCCCAAAGTTTTCAAATAACAGTGAAATTATTAAGCTGCTTTGTGCATCGATACTAAAACAAGAACTGTGTCGACTTCGTCGAGTATTAGAAACTAAACTGGAACTTGCAAGCTGATAGTAGAAATCAACAGTGGTACCTAAATAATCCTACAGATCTTCCCTCACGTTAAAGTTATATCAGCAATATTATACAATTTTTAGTTTTTTACAGAATTGTCTGTACTACTAAAATTTACCGTAGCTAAATACTGTAATATATTCAGTTAAAAATAATTTCAACCTAAGCTGAACTTGCACCACTTTCAAAATAAATTTCTTTCCAATAGTAAAAGGGAAGTATTTCACTGAACGCAATATGGCGACGTTGCGTCTGTGACACAATAATGGCGCGTATTTCAAGCGGAATAACACTAAATATTTGCACAAAAGCATATTTTGCTTTAGATAAGAGTAAAGAGAATACGAAATATTGTTTTTTACTAAGGTATATATTTTACTTAATGTATAAACAAACAAATGAACTTTAGACATCACATAAATCTGAAATATTAAATTTTTCCTCATACAGAAGGAATGTGCGTCATGTCTAAGCAAAATTATTTGATAATTTGGGTTATTTGAAGTTGGAAAGTTACATAATTGTGAACATTTTTAAATAAACAAATCGAATATTTAAAACATTCTAGGATATCAAAATTATCACTTTTTATCTAGAATTCGTTAATAATTACATCTAACTGAAAAAATATTATAAAAATAATATTAACTATTATTAAAAAAAAATATTATTGAAAAATATTATAAAAATAGTCTATACTGATTCATGTATATATCTTTTTAGTACAAAATAATAGTAATAGATTTTAAAGTGTCTGTTGTGGTTAAATTACCTTAAAGAGAGTTGCTGACAATTAGGATCGAGCAAGGAGACTTCAGGATTATCCTTTGGACCGCTCTCGAGGCTGCTCTGCCTTTTAGACTCTAAATCCTCGTATTTCTCTTCTTGAGTCGGCTTTAAGAAGGATTCTTTGTCGCCATCGATGCCTTCTTCCTTCGAATTTCGTTGATCTTGTCTATTGGTCGATGCCAGCGGCAAGTTATCTGCACTGCGAACCTTCCGACACAGTTTCGACGTTGAACCGTGCCGCCGTAAAAATTCCTGAAAAACGAATTGAAATCTCGTTACGTCGGGGGATTTGTAACGACTTTTCCGTGACGGCGCTTTCTTGCCATTATCGAAACCTTTTCACGAGGGAATCGTACGATATAGTGGTAGCTGGTTCTCAACTTTTCTTAGATTTGGGAATTTCGGAAGTTTGGAATATTGTAGTTTTGCCAGTTTTCATTTAGGTTTTTAAATTTTTGACATTTTAGATTTTAAAATTTTGGAATTTTGGAACTGCGAAATATTAAGTCTATAGGATATTGAAATTTTAGAATTTCGATTTTGTAATTTTGGGAATTTCGAGACTTTAAAATTTTGGGATTTTGGAAATTTCGAATTTCATAATATCGGAATTTTGGAATCCTGAATTTTGAGATTTAGGAATTTTTGTATTTCAGAAAATTGGAATTTTGGACTTTCGGGATTTTAGAATTTTGGGAATTTTGAATTTGATAATTTTGGGATCCAGGAATTTAGAACTTTGCGTTTTTTGGAAACTTGGAATTCCAAATTTTGCTATGTTGGAAACATGGATTTTTTGAATTTCTAAATTTTGGAGTTTTGCAATTTTAGGAATTTTGCTCTTTACAATATTGGAATTTTGGAATCCTGGAATCTGAGATTTAGGAATTTTTAAATTTTGGAAACTTGATATTTTTTACTTTTGTAACTTTAAAATTTTGGGAATTTTAGATTTTAGAATTTTAGAATTATGAAATTTTTGAATTTCACAATCTACCAAATTTAGAATTTGTAGAATTTTGGTACTTTGTGACACTAAGAATTTGAAATTTTTTAATTTTGGAATTTCAGAACTCTGAAAGTTTGAAACTTTGTATATTAATTCTTTGAATTTTGAGATTAAAAAATTTTTAAATTTTGTTATTTTGAAACGTTGGGGTGTTTGAATTTTGGTATTTTAGAATTTTAATTATAATGACTTTAGGATTTTCAATTTTAAAATTTATCAACCGTGAACAATATTCTTGGAACAACAAATTTTGGAATTTTTAAACTTTGAAACACTAAGACTTTAAAATATTGAAATTTAAAAATTTTTAAGTTTTGAATTTTTGTAACTGTACAATGTTGCTGTTATGTAACTTTATACTTTTACAATTTTGCAATTATGAATTATACAATTTTTCAATTTCTTAGCTTTTGAATTTTCGAATTTTCAAATTTTTGAATTTTTTTAATTGAACAATTTTGGAATTTTTAATTTTGTCTCTTTACAATAATGCAATTTTACAATTTTACACCTTTTGAATTTTGTAACTTTTGAATTTTTGCAATTTTGCAATTTAGGAACATTAGAATTTCATTTCTTGAACTTTTAGTTTTCAAGTCTTCTAAACATTGTAATATTAAAATTTCAATATATAAAAATGTTCAAAATATTAAAGTTTTTTACTTCTGATACTTTGGAAGACATTCTGCAACAATTTTCGAAGTCACAAAAACTGATGAACCCTATAAAATATTATAAAGCAAATCTTATCCAGAAATAACCTTGACATCATATTCTCAAGGTCACTGAATTTGTCGAGTAATTCCCTCCACCAAATAATTAGTACGGGTTCTCGTATATTCCGACATCAAACGTTTTCCTGCATTATGCATTACTTTTCTGCATCGGTAAAATCGCCTTGTTATCGCGTGAAAACGTGAGAAACGTTTGTCCGCGATTAATCGGCGTAAATCTACCAGAAACTCGATCGAAAACGGTCTCGTTAAAAAACGCAATAGCAACGTGATCGTGGTCCACGTTATCAGGAAGTGAATTTAATGACTTCCTTACGGGCAAACCACGATGTTATTGATCAACTTGTGAGCTACACTTCACCTTCGACCGCCTTGAACTTTAACGTTTGACGTGTCTATTTTATTCGGTCTCTTTCGTGTTCGTTACTTATTTAAATATCGACTGCACCGCTAGTTAGCGCTTTCCAAATTTTATTATGCGGAAAAATATTTTACTATTAATTTTAACGTTATTAAATATTAATAGTGGCGAAATAATAAAAGAATTTTTATTTGTACTGCTTAACTGCTTCTATTTTGAGAATATGAAAAATGGAAAAATGTAAGTTGTAGTTAAAAGAGGTAAAATATGTAAAATGAAAAAATGTATGTCATAGTTGAAGAGTTTACAATGAAAAAAAATTTGTGATTGCCGTTTATTATTTATTTGAGGGCCACTGATTTTAATGAGGGAATTATTACAATAGAGCACAGCAGTATACATATATACTGCAATACTGTATACAACACAGTAATACAGTAACACATATGCAACACAGTATGTATACATATAGTATAGTATGGTATATTATAGTATAGTATAGTATGTATATAGTATTCATTATAATATAGTATATACATATACAGACATTGTAAATGTATAACAATATATTGTACAGTATATTACTATACTACATTACTATACTACACTGTAGACTGCATTATATTATATGTATACTAAAATATATTACAATATATGTACAGTGTATGTCCCTTATTATAATATACAGTGTGCTCATATACTACATTATACTATATACAGTGTACTACTGGACTATATACTATATAATAGATATTACATTATAATATATATATATTATACTGTACAGTATATTACAATAATTTACTAACCATAGTAACCGGAAACCGCATTATACTGAGTCCACTATATACAGTATGTTCCACTATTTTGTCAAGTATTATAATTTTGTTCAAATTATTGATTTTATTAAAATTGAAATATTTAACATTTTGTTAAAATTAATGGCTGCTCAGTAAATAATAAACAAAAGTCACAAATTTTTCAAGGGTAGTATATCTCATCAAATATATTTTTAAAACCACATCCGATGGAAACATAACCTATATGTATAAAAGTTTCACTTTTTTGCTCTACAGAATAAGATGCTGCGAAAGACAAAAATTTCTTTTCCCAAAAAGATAAAACAAAGCATCTTTATGTAATATTGAAAACTCGAAACCGTTATATTTATTTCTTTGTTTGTTTATAAATATAATATAGGGAAGATTCAACATACTTTACAGTCTCACAGTCATTTAAAGCAAGTAACATAGATTAAAGTTTAGATAAAAAAAAGCATCTAGAAGAGTAACATAATATAAAATATAATACATAAAATATACATGTCACGTATCAACACGGAAATATGAAAGCTTTTACAATTTCCCGCTTCTATAGATGGGATGGTTCTCAGTGTAGAGCGCCTCCTGGTACAGTTTTTCGTTTCTTTTCCATAGTACATAGTTTCATTCCTAGCCTCTTAAAGAAATAGCCATTCCGCACACGGTCTCCAACACGCGATCTTTAATTATTACCGTTCTTTTTAAAGTAGTATATTAAGTACGTTACTGCAGTTAAATAATATTAAGTGTTAACACTATTATTATGTTAAGTAATGCTATTATATTAGCATTAGAATATATATATTGTTGTTACCTAATTATTGTTACAATCTCTATCAAAATATAATACAATGAAAATTAAAGAAGTCTGGCTAACGAGCGTTTTAAGGATGCTACGGAGTTTCCGGGTATATCGATATTGAGATGAACAAAGTTAGCAGATTTTCCGATTCGATTCTCGCAACAGAAATAACCGTAATTAGCGCTCGGTCGTTCGCTACGTATTAAAGTGCACTTTCTTTGGCAACTTGAGTATTAGAGAAGAGGAAAGTTGGATCCTCATCGGCTAAGATATCGTACTTTTCATTATTTTACTAAAGAATATAACGTCGAGCATTTTCTTCTATCGCGTAGCGCTTGGAGGTTTAGATTATTAAGAACGAAATCGTGGCGGTGAGAATGAAACATGGGACAACCACTATACTTGGCAGCGTGCCTTCAAAATTTCTGCTGGACGCATTCGATATCGTTAACGCGACAGTCATACTACGGAGACCAGATTGAACTTCCGTACTCTAAAATAGGTTTAATTAGTTGGCAGTATAGCGTTCTGAAAGTGTCAGTGTTGTTTAAAATCTTTGAGACCCTGCAGATAAGAACCAAGGATTTTAAACTACAAGAAATATTTATGTAACGTGTCGTAAAACATGAATTGGACGAGAAGGTAATATCTAGATCTCCACTAGTGCTCAGTGTGGCCTGTGGTTGACCATCACTCGTGTAATTATAAATAATCTTATTACTCCTATGACTGGCTCCAACGATGTGATACTTGGTTAAATGGAGAGAATTTATTAGATACCAATCGTGAAATGGACTGAAATTAATTATATGATACGAAAGAGTACGTTAAGATATATTTAATCACACGAGATATAAAGACATTTATGGTCACTGAAGGTCATAAGTGCAAAAAATAATTATATTGCTTCCTACTGTTACATATGTCTCTTAGTGTCGCATATTGATAACATTCTACCAAGTAACTATACTAGAAGGTAATGCCCTGATCTTCAACAGTGTTCAATATGGCCAGTATGACCATCGTGTAATTATAATTGTATTACTCCTTTGACTAAATCCAACGACGTTACACTTGAAGTGAGAAACTTGTTCAATAACTTGTTTAATAATAAGCTTCATCATTCGTATTTATCAATAATCGTGAAGTCCGTTAAAGTCATTAAACTTGATGTGCATACTGCCGTCTACTGATACTACGATACATGTTATCCTCGTACGCACGACGCGTCACTATAGTGGCTTTCGTGAGTCACCGTAGATTACATCGAGCGCCACTATCATGGCTCACCCTACTGACTCACTCACCGTTTCAATCGAATAATCGTTTTCATATATTTTAATTCGCACTTTTTTCACCTCGTTTTATAAGAGTATTAACAAATCCAAAAGTACATTACATGGAAATAAAAGGTAACGCCAAGTTTAGGCACCATGGAGCACCTCTTTGCACTAATACACGATATTGGAAACATTTGCAAATTACATATTTTGTGAATTTTCTAAAAAAGTAAATTATCAAAGTTAAAGTATATGTATCGTATCTTTGGGAAAAATTTTAATTTAATCATCAAAAACTTCATTCCAATATACTCGCGTAGAGAACAGCATTGTCCGTTACACATAGTAGTGCTATATCATTTACGCGTAATTCGCGTCGAATTCTGCCGTACAGGGAAGCAGCGCCGCGTGAAGTTACGCCGTGCCTAAGAGGTTAACTAGCACAGAAAGTTCGCTACTGCAGATTAGTACACTTGATCGCTATAACGGTCACGCGTGACGTGAAGTTCGTGCGCTTCAAGGAAACTTCCTTTCGTGATAGGCAGATGTCACATTTTTACCATAACGAGTACAGCGAAAAGTACTCGATGTTTAGTATTTTCAATTAAAATAAGCACACATTGTAGTGCTGTTTACGCTTAATTCGATTCGAACTCTGCTGTATAAGTAGCGCCACGTAAAGGTCAACCTAAGGGGTTAAGAATATGAAAAAAAAGAAAACTCTGCAAGTACGTAGGAATATAAGGATGTAGAAAGGTACGATCGGAAATGAGAATTACCTTGCTCTTGTAAAAAATCTCATTTCCTTGCTACCTTTGTTATGTTTCCACCGGTTTCTGTTTTCATTCGATTACATACCTGGGATAGGAAGCCGGCTACGTCGATGGCGCTGTTCACCCGGGGCCTCGATGTCCTGGGCCACCCTAAACCACCTCCGCTATCCAAGGAGTCCACGTGATGGCTCGACCAGTGCAGATGCTGGAAATTCCACACCGTACGATTAGATCTCCTATCTGTGTATCGATCGAGCCAGCGAAAATTGCATTTCAACGTAACTTTTCGATAAGCGTGATTTTTCCGTGGCTGAGACAGAAACAGAAAGTATTTTCGTATTCGCTAAAAATAAAATTGCTCTTCTCTTTTTACAAATATATTATGTAATTGTTTATGTAATTCCAGAAATAGTTGTTTAGAAAGTTCGTAACATTTATGAGAGCTATTAAACTTTACCTCAGGGTTTGGATATAAAAAGTGCTTCACTATCTGAACAGCAACCTATTATGCACATTTTGATTAATAATCCTCAAATTGGCGTTCAATAATTTTAAATCTGTTATCATTAATTTGTATTTAATTCCACATACTTGTATTAACATACAAGTAAATTCTAATGATATGTAAATTAATAGAGGTATATTATTAAATTAAAATTGGTTGTGTTTCCGTCATTGTGTGTACTATTGTTAATCTATAATGGTAATACGAATTTGGTAATTTGTTAATAATATTTGTTAAAATTTTAAATTTTATCCAATATCTTGAATTTTACATTTTACTAAAAAATTTATAAATCTACCTTCTACATTTTTTTAAAACCTTATCGTATACAAGAATACTGATTTTTATGCAAACATTCTGTAAAAATGCAATATTGCGAGAGGTGAAGTTCCCGCGCGATGATTGTGAAGAAAAGAATCAATATTTAGGAAGTTCTGTGCATGTAAACACGTTTCGAAGATGGAAGATATTATGTACAGTGAATTTTCCATATTTCATGCTGTTTTCTTATCGGGGCGGCAAAAGCTTCATAACAATCGATACAATGATACACGTTGTTTACAAGGATGACAAAGCTAGTAATTGGATTTTATATTTTAAAATTCTTACATTTTTTCATAGTACTATAGCTTTTTAAGTAATAACTGAAAAAATGTTGTCATTGAATAACATCCTACTTGAGAATATAAAAATTGTATATTGTATCATTAAATTGTATACTGCATTGTTTAGTTGTATATTGTGTCATAAAAAATTGTATTATCAAATTTCGTTGCAAACTTTCCAAACAACCCAACATTCTTCTCTTTTTAAAGTGAAAATAAATAACTATTTGTAAATTTCAAAAATATAAGACAAACTTTAAATTGATCTTGCAAATAGATAATTAATTATAGGAGAATGATCATTAAACTATAAATAAATAGTTATACAAGCACTGAAATTTTCAGAATTATCTTCTTTTATGTACACAAAATTTTACTCTTTTATATTGCATCAATTTCAAAATATTTTTTGTAACATTTAATTTTTTTTTTTTGTAAAAACTAATACATTATGAATTTTTTAGTCTCTGTATAAGTTTTTACTTTCTGTAAATAAATAAATTTAATTCTTCAAAAATTAATATTTTCAGTCTATACAAAATATTGTTCAATGCTTAATAATATTTATTAACAAATGAATCTTTTTTGCAATCTATAGTATTTCATTTTTTCAGTACCTTAGAAAAAGTTACTGAAAAGTTATATCAGAAATATATGTATACATAATTTATTAATAATGAGAAATTGATAAACAACTTTATTTTTAGCGAATGTTCTTTAAAACACATATCAACAAAACATGTCCGTTCTCATGTTCGCGACTGCCTGTTGCTTAAGGTTTTCGTGTTCTCATGAAACATATCAACATGTACGTTTGATTCAAATTTTTACTCCCTTAATTACATCTGAAAACGCGCGTGAAAATATTCTGTACAGTTACAGAATAATTTTGCAACTATACACAGCCATACTTACACAACACTGTACATTTTATACATTATTCAATGAACAATTTACCTGGATGAAAAGCACAATATAACAACAATTACAAATTTTTTTATACGAGTTGAAAATATTACAAAATATATAATTATTATTTTATAGAAAGGTGAAAATATTTTTGCATTTGAATTACATTAAATTTTTTTTTACTAATTTATTGTTTTTACTATTTTTATTCAATTATAATAATTTATAAAAACGAGAAAATATTTTTGAATTTGAATTACTTTAAATTTTTTTTCTTAATTTATTTTTTTTACTATTTTCATTCAATTTATTTTGTTACCATCTAGTAAACAAACTTCTCCACAGTTTGTAACATTTTTCAATTTCTGAAAGTGATGGATCATTTTTCCAGCCGCGTTAACAGATAAAAACTGCACTTTCATCCAAGTAATCAATTAATAACCGCAGAAGCATCGGTCACTCGTCGACCTATTTGACAGTATAACCGATTGTTTCAGCCTCTAAAAAATGAATAAGCATTTCAGGTGAGCTAAGCATTTATCCCGGTGATATACCGAGACGGTGAAACGTGACGTGAAAGCATCGGTGTTCGCATGTGCGTTAACTTTCAACATCAACGTGTGTCGATAATCTGCACGCAAGTTACTCCAGTGCTCCACAATTTCTGTATTTTGCAAACTGTGCAGAATTTGTGCTCGTTATCTACAAATTTTTTAGGGTAACCTGAAGCTTGTATATTGATTTCAAGCAGATGAATCGTTTCTGTTGGCTAGAAAAGATATTAATACTAATGAAAGAGGTACTTGGCATTTTTTATATTATTAAAAATGATTAGAAATGATATTTCATTGTAATGAATAGAATGATATAAATAAATAATTAGCTTATTGCAAATGTCTTAATTAACATACAAAATTAAATAATTAGTTTATATAATTAGTTTTATTTTTATCTTAATAATGTTAGTCACCTTTTTGTCACTCCACATTTTAAATTTCGGTGGTTACTTGTTAAAAAATTCTGTGGAACAGTAATTATACTGTGAGTTGCATAAGTATACTTCTTATTACCTAACCCTTTTTGTTGCTATTAGTCTGAGACATCTGCTGGAATTTTTTTTTTTAAATATTTTTTAAATACTAATTTAAGAAAGCACTCTTTAAATAATTTGTAGTACATATATAAATTATGTAACAACAATTTGACATATTAACGTAAATATTCACCTAATTTGCATATAAACTAATTTTCATTCGTTCCATAAATATACCAACTGTTTAATCGTGTTCCATCGCCGATGTTATTATCGGCAAACTCTCTTAATCAACATGAAAAATGTACCGATGCATTATGCTGCATGAAAATTAAATTTTCCCTATGGTGTTCTCCCAATGGGGCTTCAAATAATTTTGTAATGTATTCGAACAATTGTTACCGTTCATTACGCGGGAAATAAATGCTATGGAGCTATTTCCATGAACTGGGAACAGAAACTGAGTCGGCACGGAAATTGCATTTCGAAAAATATTTCCCATTTTTATATCGTGTCAATATGAATTAAAACCAAAGGACTCACGTATGTAGATTGAATTGTTTCTTGTCACTAAATCTAACCTAGAAAAAAGAAACCGTAACAGCGAAACATCCATTTCATATAAAATAGATATTTTTACTAACATTTTTCCAATCCGTAGGCGTATTGCCTTCAGCAAATGGAAGTCTCGCAGATCTATCATCGTTTGTCAAATCTGTCGACGATATTTTCACCTTAACAGTGTGCAAAGATGTTACAATAATTGTTAAAAAGGAATGCTGAAAAAAAGGATAACCGTATTTGCCATAGGACGTCTCTCAAGACAATCGGAACAATTCGGCAATCGTCGACAGTCTACGACGCGTGAGCGCCGAGAAATAAATCATAACCGAGCTAAAGTTGCGTTACGAAAAATATTTCACATCTTCTCGTATATCGTGTCAATACGAATTGAAACATCTGGCCCACCTAGATTGAATTTTTCCTCCTCACTAAATATAACCTACAAAAACAAATTGTAACTATGAAACGTTCGTTTCTTTTAAAACAAATATTTATACTAACATTTTTCCAATTCGTACTCGTGTTTACTTCAGCGAATGAAAGTTTCGTTGATTTATCTTTGTTTTATATGTCGATATCATTTTCGTGTTAACAGTGTGCAGAGATGTTATAATAATTGTTAAAAAGGAACATTAAAGAAGGACGACTGTATGTCTCCGCTAGGACGTTCGGAGCCAATCGGAACGATTCGGCAATCTTCGACAATTTTCGGCGTAAGATTGCCGATCCGCGACGGTTGACACGTGGCGAATAGAATAGATTTGAAAGACGAAGAATAAAGACGTGTAGTGTAAACGGCTAATATATTGTTAAATTAAAAGACAGTGTCGTGGAATCAATTTCGAAATTTCAACAATATTTCTGAGGATGGTTTTCGTAACATTTAATCTGCTGTTATCTTGCAGTTAAACATAATACTGTCGAGTTAGAAGCTAATGGTAGAAGTTTACGTTTCTCTCGAGGAAGCAATTCTGAAGGGCGACCTAAACGATTCTTCTCACCGTAATTACATCTTTTACTAACATAATCGGCAATATCACTTTTTGGACGACCTATATATTTCGCAATATAACCATAACCTTTAAAGCGATAAGCTTCGAACATGGCTTTTCTCTCTCTGAAAGTTCTTTCACGAGGTATTTCACTTTCTAACCTTTACAAACGAATCTTACGAATATAATTTGAAACAAATGAAGGTATAATGAGGTTGATCGCATATGAAACTAAATTAATGCAAAAATAAAGAGAACATAAGGTTGGAATATTAAACGGCTGAAAATCAGGTTTTTTATCAGCATACTTTTACGTTAATACGTGAATTATACACAATTTAATATTTATGCAATGCGAATTAGCATTTAAGGAATATTGATCATAATTTCCTGTCAAAGCTCAGATTACCGACAATATGAAATGTTGGTATATTTATGTAGTTATATTGTAGCTTTATAAGATATATTTATGGAAAGAACAAACATAACCTAACTTTACCCAAATAAGAAGCATTCTTTGCTGTTTTTAGGGCAATATACATACAGTATATAATACATATATACAAGTAATACAGTACTTAAATTTTATACAGGTAA